GGGATGTTGATAAGACCTAGGTGAAATTGAAATTGCCGTCTACCCTAAATGGGAATACTTTTTGTGAAAGCAAAGCAACGTGAAATCCAATGCTAATGTAAGGTCTACTCATATCCTAACTGAAATAGGATAAATACACCTCATATACACTCATGCTTGTTGGTGTACTTTTCATTTCCTTTAAGACGATTAGTGGTAGATATTTATGAATTGTTCTCACCAGGAGCCGAAGAGAATTGCTTTAAAGTTGTGATGGTAGGTTTTTGAGAATTAGTACCCGACTCACCGTTCCGCGGCTCCAATGAATACGTAATGAACTTACTTTTGTTATATGACGAATTATAGCCAAGCATGGTTTCATAGCCTATCGACGTCTGTCATATGAGATTGTTGTGCACAGTTCCATTTTAAGCGAAAGTGTGTGATGAACAGATTTGAAGGCAGATCCGACCAGGAGACGACGGCCGAACATTCCATTCATTTTAGGTTTAGAGCAATCTTTTGGTTTCTAATTGCTTAACCCGTCTTCATTTAGGGCGAAAGTGTGTGATTAAAGTTCGATTCCAGTAGAATACGACGGCGGATTCCTCTTGACCAGTTGTCCGGATGGCTTTGCTTCACATGTGTCACATGACAGAGAAGGACTCAGCACGGATTTTGGGGCTCGCGAGACAGTGCGTCGAGGACTTATTCGCTCAAATCTACACTTTAAACTTCAAGAAAATCCTTCTCCATCTTCAGGTGGGGCCAATTCGACACTCCCTTCCATTCGCCTCTTCAACTTCAATCTATTACAGGAATCTTAGAAGCCAGCTTTTCTTCATACTCACGCCTTCCTCTAGCATGCCACCTACTGTCTCCTCCCGCCTTGTGGGCATTTCTCTCTCTGAATGTGGCAAAACAAGCCCCGTTTCTGTACTTACTTGGCTCCAGCCGAATCGACCACTCTTCCACCTCTTGGCCTGTACTTCTATTCATCAGAGCCGGTTTCACTTCGCCCACTCCGTCCGGCCTACCTTCGGCCAGGCCCGTCTGACCGAGTCTCGCCTCCACCATTTCCGCCCTCCTCGTGGCCTTGAATCGAGTCCCGGCTCTCGTGGCGCCTCGCGGTACTGTCGGCGTCTGAGAGTGACGCTGGGCGGCATAGCTGGCCTGAAATGGC